AAAGCTTCCCTTCATAAGCTCCTTTAAATCGAGAAACGGTATTAAAACTCTTCTCAGTGCATACAAAGCTGCATCGCATTTTTAAGGCCTCGCATTTTCACATTATTCCAATAGAGTACACAATTGTCAGAGTGCAGACTTGTGGTTCAGAGAGTTTCCAAAAATAAAACTGGAGGCAGAACCTTTGGCCATCACGTTCCTCTACTGTGAAACCAGCCCAGCTCGTCTATATTTTAAAGATTAGGCCCCTTTACTTTCCATTTTAACAAATCTTACAACACATGAATTTAACCTTATTATTGTTCGTAAGGCTCCTTGTTTCTCAGTGATCATATTTTGTCGTTTTGCTTTCCTCTCAACTCACCTTGGCAGACACTAAAATGCTGAGGTTTCTGAAAGGCAGCTTTTCCTTTCCCTATAGTCGCAAAGTACTTTAGCTTGATGTTTAAAGTGACTCCAAAAGGAGGGAAAAATATATGGTTAAACCTTTAAGCATACTTTGCACTTCGTATATGCAGTAAAGCGGCTGAGTCATTTCCTTTCTCTTACATTTGCTTGCCTGTGTGGTAAATGAGTGTATAATATTAAATCAACATTTTATTTACTGCATTGCAGATAGATGGACATCTACATGTTAAAGTCTCAAAGTGATTTTATACAGAAGGCGTGGCGGCTGAAGTGACATAAATTTGGGGGGTAAATAACTGGAACAACTGAACCTGAACATTCCAAAGCCATGTCACTCTCTCATAGTGAGGCCCCGGTATCCAGGCAACCACATTCTATAAGCCTACTAATAGCCAATCAGAGGCCAGATTGTAATTATTCACATGTCCAACAGGAATCTAGCACATGGCTTGCTGTAACAACTAAAGCATGCGCATAAAAAAAAAAAAAAAAAAAAAAAAAAAGCAGCACAACCTACCCCATGACTGATACACGCATTAACAGGAAAAGATTTACTATATAGATAAGAAAACAGGCAATTCTGCGGAGGAAGTGCTCAGAGAACAGATAATACAATGTAAATGGTGCAAGTCAGATTCAGGAGACTGCTGCTTTGAATATGACATCTGATAAACTAAAAAAAAAAAAGAAAAAAAAAAAGAAGTACCTACTGTTATCACAAGTCAAAGTAAATCATCCTGACCATCACAGAAACTGCATTAATGCAGATGAACAACAGCAACATGCTAAAACAACCAGGAATCCCTTTGAGGGTCTGAGGGTTGTATGTGGAGACCTGTGATGAATAAGGCAGCAGCTGAAAGCAGTACATAAGTGACCAGCAAAAGGGTCGATCACAGTATCAGTATTTGCAATTAAATGTAAAAGTACTGTCAACTCGGCTGTGTATTTTGTCTCCTCTCACATTCCACTCACCTCACTGCTCGCTCAGTGATAGATGTTTAGAAAAAAATCACAGCGAGAACACAGACTCATGCATGACCTGCCGCAAACTCGCATCTCAAAGCAGCACAGAGTTTCCTGTAATTATGTCATTTTCATATACAGGTCTGGAGGTCAACTATGTAAGGAAGTGTGGACGTCAGCCTCTTGTTTACTCATGTGACTTGTAATGCTAGCAGATATAGCCGCACATCCGGTATACCAGTCCTAATTTCATGCATAATATGATCTTTTCAAATATCGCTATATCGGTGAAGAGACAACGCTCAACACGGTTTTCCCCAGAGATTATACATAATATATTATATGCATTTTAGAGCATATTGGGAGGGGAACTGTATGATCTCTGCACCCTCTTTATAACAAAAAAAAAAAAACCAACTATATTAGATTGACAAATAATAATTCACGATTATTTTATTAACAGGTGTTTTATATGACAATGGATTAACAATTAACACCACAATCATTTAAAAAGTAAGCCAAAATGTGGCAATACAGTGAACTGAAACTTTTACTATATGTACAAATTGGACACAGCTTCCAGGTCTGAACAAGTACAGCCAATGACAAGTGCCTTGCACAAAGACTTTCAGTTGTAGGAAAATGATTGCTTTGCTCTTCGACCTCAATAAACACTTTGTGAATGACTTTGAGGTCAGTTGCTAGTTTCAGGTCACAGTGACAGTAAGATGCAGTTCAATTAGTAACTTATGTTCCTCACTACAGTCAGAATGAAAGATAAAGCAGGGAATGCAGTGTCCCTTGATTTCACTGTCAGACCCACCATTTATTCCTGACTGTTTGAAAAAGTAGTGAAAATGCTGTTTGAGGCTTCAACCCAGGACTTCACTATGCAACAGGTTATGGTATGGCATCTTTTATATACAGTCTATGTTGAAAACTGCCTCTAGAGCCCTTTTCAAATGTATATTTTTTTTAAAGATAGCCCAAGAGTAGATTATTTTTTATTTAATCATTTAAAGAAAAAAACCTCTATGTTTATTTAGTTTTTATTATGACAGTAAAACGCTTTTTATTCTGCACAATCCTGACAGATAAACAACTTACTGTGAAAATATATAAAAGGCCTGCTTCTGTAAAAAGACTAAAAAACACTGCGATACAAATACAGGTCATACTGCCCCAGCACTGGTGTCATGTCACAGTCTCCTCAAAGAAACATGAAAGTGATCCACTTTACAGTTGCTGCCTTCTGTTATGGAAACTTGGAACCTGTCTAGAAGGTATGCTCCCCAACTGCTTATCTAAGGACAAATACGTCAAACTCTTGAAGCACATTGCAGTTAAATGCATATTGCCAAGAGGATCTACTTACACTTGCATGCACAACTTTAGGCTTTACTGAAACGTCTGGAAGGAAAAATGATCCAGTTAAATTAATAAAAAATGCCTTGTGATGGCAAAGGTCATAGAAGAACAGCTAGACTGGGTCGAACTGACAGAACGAGTAACTCAAATAACCACCCATTACATCACACATCTGTTACATCACACTGAACACGCAACACGTCAGCCTTAAAGCAGATGAGCTCCAGCAGCAGATTCAAGGAGGGGGTGTAATGGTGTGGGAGGCAGTTTCATGTCACACCCTTTTGTCCCCATTAATACCAGCTGAGCTTCATTTAAATGTCATGACCTACCTGAATATTTTTTGACCATGCCCTTCACTCTGTGACCAGTGTACCCATCTCCTGATGTTGATGTCATATTGAGCTGGGCCATATCATACTATTCACGGTAATACCGGTATAATGGGCAACGATAAGAAACCGAAATATCACGATAGAATATAGGTAAAACGCACATGCGCAGTGCCTTTGTTTTCATACGCACATGGCGGAAAAAGCATGGCGATGACGCAGAATGAGATGGACGAAAGCGGATCGTTGAATGAAACGGATGAACCAGAATTAGTTTGTAAAAATGCTGCAACTTCAGTGATGTGGAACTGGTTTAGCTTTCGTCCGTCAGATACACAACAAAGCGCTATTTTTGGTAGAGCATGCTAGCGGGCCGTCGTTATTACCGTGTTGTTTGGAAAATACGGCACATTTAAAATCAATCCTTTGATTTTTCTGAAAATCGACAGTGCCCCTTATAATCCCGTGGGCCTTATGTATGAATTCTGGTTGTGTTTACTGACCTTTATATGTCATACACTGCGTTAGAAAATCAGTCAAATGTTTTAGTACGACTTTGCTAAGCTACGAACCCGCACCGCTTGATGGATTGTCGGAGCATTACAGCTATTGTAGGCAGGAGCCTCGCGGAGTGATACGTACTGCGCTTCAACATAATATTACCGTATTGTGTGTGTATAACCTCTTTTTAAGTTTTGTGGATATTATACATGGTTATGCTGAGGATATGTCAGCCAATTTCCACTGGAAATGCCTTTTGGTTAAACTGTCAGCAAGGAATTTGCATTTGCACTGTTAAATTTTTATATAACTTTAATGCACATAAAAAACAGCTGCTTGTTTAAGTGAAAATACATTGATGGTTTTTTGTTTGCACTAATAAAGTTGTGGAGTTGAAAAGTAATTTGTCTAGTGTCAATTATATCGTCAGTTATATCGTTATCACAAATTTTCAAATGTATATCGTGATAAATATTTTTGGTCATATCGCCCTGCTCTAATGTCATATATATTATATAATCTCAGACTGGTTTCTTGTAAGTAACACTGAATTCCCTGTCCCCAAATGGCCTCTACAGTCAGCAACTGAACAGAGCAGCTTTGATATGTGGTGGATGAGGAGGATCAAACCATGAAAGAGCTCTCCGCAAATCTGCAGTAAGTACATGACGTTATCTTGTTGATATGCACAAAAATCTCAAGACAACATTTCTAAGACCTTCAGTGAAATAGGCAATTGTAAAGGTGAAAGGCAGTTCAACTTACTAGCAGGACATCTAAAAATAAAGTTAGGATAATACTGAATTCCTGTGGATATATTTTAAGTACTGTATGACACAAAGTTCAATTAATTTGACCACTATATGAAAATTCCTGTAATAAAACAACAACAACAAAGAAATGTGGAAGGTAGTATGGGGTGTTTTTCCTTCTCTGCATTTTAATGGGAAATATGAAAAAGGGAGAGTGGCCACACAGCATTTACCTACACGTAACCACTATCATGAACTCTGTACGGGTGTGGTGTATGGAATAAAGCAGGGTGGAGGGTGACAACAGTGCCACACACACACACACACCACAACTGCACTGACTGGTCAAATGCTTGTGGCAGGAAGTCAGAAGTTATGAAGACCTGACACACAAACACATGACAGATGACTTTGTTTTGATGATTATTTTACAAATAAATTCAAATAGAGCCCGACCAATACAGGAGTCATTGAAATTAAAACAAAAAATATCATGTAAAATAACTCAAAACGATGGGGTTGCTTTCTTAAAATCAACCTTCCAGTATTGCTCAAACTCGTTAAAGATCTGCGGCAGACCAATAACGGCCGGGTATTGGTAGGGCTCTAATTTCAAATCACTCTTGAATCAAATGGTGATAACAAGAAGGTTCTCCACACATCACTACCATACCTTGGCATTCCAATCTCTATTAAGGTAATATATGCATGTGACACACCGTCCATCGCCGTTAGGGTTATCCACATGGCGCACATATCCTGTCCCGTTTCCGGGGTAACATGCCACCATTGCCTGAAGAGAGGAACATGAAAAAAAACCCCTGATTAGTAAAAACAGATATGCAGTGACAACAGCAGAAATGTAGGCATTCAGTCTCTACAGCTCATGTGTCAAACAAAAGCTGTACTGCAAGGACAAGAAAGAAGGGAGGAACGGGAGCAAAGGAGCTCGAACTGCATTTGCTGGCTCGTGATGTGGAAGTAGCAGAAAGCCTCGCCGCAGTCTGACTGTAGCACTGCCTCACCTGCACCAGGACTGACACAAGGCACAAGCTGCCTAAAACACAGCTGCCTCGTTATAAACTTTAAACTGGCAAGGAAAATAAACCGGAGATATCATGCTGCAACTTCCCCTCGTCTCTTCCTGCTCTACTAAGACTTGCATGATCTGCTTGGGTGTTGGCAGTGAACCTCCACGAGCTCTTGTAAACTTCTCGGTGTAAACATCGAGGGAGCACGCCCGCTCCTTCGAATGCCCTTCAGGAATAAGACGCACACAAGCGGTGATTTGCACACCACCCCGAGGACTGTGATACAGAAAAATGTGTTTTCTTTAACAGTAGAGATTTCTCAGACATCTCAGAGCTTTTGCACTGGAAATTACAGCTGACACTTGAACACCAAACAGCGTGTGTTTTCTTTTCAGATGAGTGGTGAACGTGCACACAGGGTGGAATAAGCCCTCATGCTAAGCAGTGTCTAAGCAGCGATATGACAGACAAAGGCAAGTTCATCCACATTCTTTCAAGAACTTGCATCAACATAAACCATAGCAACATTATTATAAACACTCAGTGTAGACTAAACTTCTTCCTCAGGGTTTCTACCCTGTAAAATATTATAGAGCATCTATGCTAGCACATTTAGAAGTTAAAGCTACCCTTTCAACAAAGAAAAGACTGAAGGTGCTGGGATTCAAAATGAACATCCGGGAGTTGAACAGGTACATTTACTTCTGTACATGCACAAATTTCATGATTATTTCACTGCACCACAGAAAAATTGTAAATCTTTGCGTGCAAAGCCTTTTAACGCCATAGTGAGAGCATTAAAATAAAATGACATCAGACCCACGTCGGCATCTTCTTACTCTACATGTCTGATCACAGTTACTTGCGTCAGTCCACATTGTGTTCACATGTTTTGTGTGATGCAGGTTACCGCTGGAATGCACATTATCAGGGCCTTTAAAGCTGAAAAACAACAAAAAATCTGACATAAAGATGGGGGAGGTAGCTCTGGCTGCATGGATTTTATCTTCTTTTTTTTTTAAATATAAATGGGGTGGGTTTAACAAGAACAGTTGCTGGGTTGGGGGATGGGGGGGTACGAACTGACAAAGCGCTTCCTGTAAGTAAGTCGCAATCCAGTATGTTTTCTTTCTTTGTGTGAGTCTGTGTGTGGCAGAGAAAGAGGTAGAGGGGCACAGACAGAGAAAGCATAGGGGTGGGGCTGGAGAAGAAGACGAGTGAACTGAGTGAACTTTGACTCTTGGCCTCCCTCCAGAGGCTGCAGTATTTTAATGGTTGTGCTACGTGCAGATCGTGAGGAGGGCTGGCTGATCCTCGGCAATGTCACCCCTCCCACCCTCAACTGCTGGGCTTGCGCTGCAAGGCTGGAGATGGGTAAACAGCGGCTGCTAGGAGATGTGTGTGTGTGTTTGTGCGTCTGCTGAGCCGAGGTGCAAGAGCCTAGGCGCTCTGCAAAACTCCCGACGCGGCATTTTAGCTTACAATTCCCTCAAATAGACAGCTGTAGAAACGTTCTAATGCTTCATCAGATCCAGGAAAGCTTGACATCAGCACATGCTATATAACAAATGCAAGAGCGGTTTGTGATTATTCTTGTTACAAAAAACCATGACATGCATAACAGCTAAACCTATATGGATTGCTGGTCTATACAAAAACAAAAATCCTAAGAGAATAAGATGTTTTAGCTAAAACATTTACAAAAATGCAAAATACAGACAGCCTCGGAGTGTTAGAATCTGTATTAAAATAATAACAACTATATAAATAATAATAATAATAATAATAATAATAATAATAATAATAATAATAATAGTTGGGAAGGGAAAAAAAAAAAAGATCATATTTCCCACAATAAAAAACATGTCCTACTAAAATCAGGTAGCCCATAATTCCATTCCCTTTGTCTAACAGAGTTACTGCTGATATAGTGGGGACAGGAGTAAATGTTTTCAAATGAAAGCTATTTTTAACACACTTGTTTCCTCACTCTCTTCACCCCTAACCTCTATACCTATTTGAGCTTCCCTTCCTTTAGCCACTTATTCTTCCGCATTCCTCCGCGGCCCTCATTAGGAGGCTGACCTTACTCTTGGTGTTGTTTGTTTACATTCCATAGGCATGGCTTCTGAAGCCGATGGGCATTCACAGGCAGAGAGCGAGAGGAGGTCACAGAAGAAAGCTCAGAGGCTGTCGCTGAGGCCACAGGAAAGGAAGGCTTCATTTCACAGATGGATATTAAAAGAGCATGAAAATAATTGACATTACAAACACGCACAACCTGCAACTAGTACCAAACCATGCACTTCCTTGATTGAAAAAAACAAAACAAAAAACAGCAGTCAATTAAATAAATGAGTCTTTGATAATGGCCGAGGACATAAACAAATAAAGCCTGGTACTCAAACACTGCTGCTGCAGCACATGCTTTCAAATGTTGCATAATAAAAGCTAATAATTGAAGGGTTACTTATCTGGTACTTTTAGACTGGAAACTAGCATTATGAATTTTTCCAGACTACTGTGTGTGTGTGTGTGTGTGTGTGTGTGTGTGTGTGTGTGTGTGTGTGTGTGTGTGTGTATATATGTTAGGGGTGCAACAATACATAAAATTCACGGTTCGGTTCGGTTCTTTGGTGTCACGGTTCGATATTTTTTCGATAAAAAAACAAAACATGTTCATGCCTTTTTTAATTTGTCATTTATTAAATTTTCACAGCACATTCCGCACCAAATCTCTGTGCGTTCATCATTTGTTTGAAGCCAGCTCACCTCCTGCACCTACTTTGAAATCATTGATATTGTTGGGAAATCACAAACAAAAAACTCTACAGACTCTGACGACATTGATATGGAAATCGTTAAGAGAGTGATAGAGGGCATTTCCAAACCCTTAACACACATTTGCAATTTGTCCTTACAAACTGGTACATTCCCAAAACAAATGAAAACAGCTAAAGTAACACCACTGTTTAAAAATGGTGAC